ACCACTCATCTTTTTATTTTCCTTTGGAATCAAAACAGCAAACGCTGGAAGCATGAAGGAGCAAACAGAGCCACGGATCAGTCAAGTAAGAAATTAAAGCTTACCTGTCATAATATTTAGCTACAATCTTTGGTAGGATGGCGAGTTGAAGAATGCAAAAGTACAGTTCACCCGGAAGGCCTGAATGAATGAAAAAAAGACGGGTATAAGTGAATGCACGAGTAGTAGCCCTGGGGATGATGAAAACACTTAGCCGTATTTTGCCTTGTTCATTTAAGTTAGCCCTCTGGAGGGCGAAGCTAACACCAATTTCGATTGCGACGACATTAATTGTAGTAATAATGATTCACTTGCAAACAAAGACCTTAAGAAATGTTGAAATGCCATTGAGAACCTCCACTTCTGCTGGTTAACCTTTTCGACTAAGAATATGACCTTTTCATTTGTCCTCTTAACAAATTGTTGGCTCTCCGACACAGAGTGAGCGGTCGAAGCCTATAAGTGAGAGGTCGTTTGGCATAACCAACCACTCTGCAGGCATATGTGACTGCTATCTAGCATAGATAGCTTAGCCTCAGTCAATGCGTTATGGTGATTTGTTACTGCGATACTATTTAAAGAATCGAGAGGCTGACCGGAATGAAACTGTTGTTACGCAGCACGAGGTTGTAGTCGCCTATCAACGTTAAAATTTAATGAGTACTTTCAGCATAAGATTAAAATGGTTGCATTTGAGACTACAACCCCATTACCAGTAACTGAAGTCACGTAAAAGTAAAATAGGAGTTAATTCATTATTTGAATTTTTAAATTCACACAACTTGTTACTTTTCTATAATGACACATGGTATGGCAATTACTGTCTGTAGTCCCCTGGGAGAATTAGGGGTCTAGGAAAGCAAAACGTGATGCCGTCTGAAGGTATGTGGAAGAAGAGTTGCGTGACAGCCTAATCACAGGAAACTAGAACGGTTATCATAGTAAATCCAGAAGTTGACCCATGTTTAATGCATTTATTGGGTGCGCCGAATCCTTCTGATCGGCTCAATATAATAGGAGAATCCTGTTAATTCGGCTTTGTGGTTGCTAATTTCTCGATTACTTTAGGCTGACAGTTGACAGAAAGACGATTTCCGCCTCGATTCATTAGTCAAACTTGACCATCTGCAAGGCCTTCGATTCACTCACTCTACTCTACAGCAGTCACTGCCACCAGCAATGCACCTTTAAAACGGTTGCATAAATTTTGGTCCAAAATTGCATCATATGGAAATTCCTAAAAATACTTTCTCTACACTTTTGCTGAGTTTATTTAGTGGATAAGTATTGCTTAGAGAAGAACACATACATTCTATTGCTCACCAATGGTTAAGATGATTCCGAGTGTAACAAAAGCATGAGGGAGATGATCATGCAAGGATCCGAATCCTTAGAATTCCTGTGGGATATCCTTACACACAGTAAAAATACTGCCTACACACTGTCTGCATCCCAGACTTCGCTTTCTGATGTTCCAACCCCTTATCGCCCCGTCAGATAATTCAGTAGAAACCACACTCAACCATTTACACTGGTGCAAAAACAAGGTGGAGTTTGTTGCAGCACTGTATCCAACAAGGAAATTATACTGAGTCGACTATTACTTGATTATTGCAGAAGCGTTAAGAGACATTTACGGTTCTTTGTTTCTGTCAGCTGTGGCCGAATTCGTTTGATAATCACATAGCTCCAAATGAATACCGTTTGTCAACACCAACTAGAAGTATCGAAACACCTAAAGATTTCTTCCATGTAATTCTAGGATATGCTATCATTTTCTGTCCGGCATTTAACCTTATTTGTTTTGAATTTACAACTTGACACAAAAAGTGTCACAGGTGCAACTTTGCAGCACACATGCAAGAGATAAATATTTGATAATTAAAT